GTAACCACTGTGCGAACCCACGCGCGCTAATAGACTGGCCCGGCAGTGGCTCTATATATGACCATGTTTCCTCCTTCCACAAGTACTTCATTTCCAGACTTGCTTAGCTGAGATACATAGCGCTCAAGTGTGTTAAATATGCCGTGAGCCGAGGACCAGATTAAAGCCAGAGGCATAAATTTAAGAATGTTCCAGGCTGAGGTATGGCAATGTTCTCCTTAAAAGATTTGGTCACTATGGAATAAACTGACTTTAAAAATAGCATGACCGTTGTGAAAAGGGCCGAATTTTTATCATACGGCATTGTGAACAAAGTATGGCTATGTCTAAATATTGGCTTCAGTACAACTTATACCTCATCGATATAAGTTAGATATGATCTCCAAATATACTGAGCACCTTATATACTTGAAAAATATACTGGTTTACAAATTATTAAATTTCGACACACCTGAAATACTTGGTAGCCATGGTGACTGACCAGATTTAGACAACATATTGCTGCATTTCACAAATAGAAGTAGAGTTTATCATGTACATTATCAATAATTATTTTCATTCTTCTGCAAAGTCTGATTATGAAAGCTTTAAAACAAGTTAAGCACCGTCTGTGTCCTCGGTGTAGCTCTGTACGATCTCTCGGTTCGCACATTCGTCACATCGACACATGTCAGTGCACACAAGTCCAGCTTTGTTGAACATTCAACAGAATCACATGCACTTTTTGTGCATCGACAATAAACACTGTGCAGCACTGCCTGCGGAGCTATATACATAGTTGTCCACTTGATGGAAAGTTCTGAATCCGACAATGTCCAGCCATGTCTAACCAGAGATGGTCTTGGCGCCTGCAGCATGCATGAAACACTTGTACCTCGCGTCATTAACACCGACACATCTCCTGTCCATCAGGTCGCAGACAAACTTCTCCAGGCCTTGCTGCAGTTCTCGAGATAATGACAGATCTTTGCCTAATTCTGTGAAGGCATGTTCAAATGTCACATGTTTCATCATCAACTTCAGAGGTTTTACTTTTCCCTTTCCTTTGATAGCACTACCACAGTCACATCCTCTGAAAGGGTGAAGGCCAATAAGCGCTTTTGAAGTTGTATTTCCTAGTGTTTTGCTGATTTCTCGAACAGCATTTCAAGATGGTGGAAGCCCATACAGCAAGCACAACAACATCTGTGTCTATTGTCCGAATAATAATATCGGTTTCTGGAGGACTGGACTGAGAGACATGGCAAGCATGCAAGAACATCCTGGCATCTGCTTTTTCCTGGTTTGACTGAAGGTCTGCAATGTCTTCGAAATGAAGTGTGTCCTCGGTTCGGTACAGCTTATAGCATCTGACTCCAAAAGTGGCATACATCTCTATGTCAGAAAACATTAGTGCCTGGTAACATTTCCATTCATCCACAACAGACTTGAGCAATCCCTCTTCGTTGCTGCCACAAGCGAGAAACTTTTGTCCCACAATCCATTTTCTGGATCAGTTTAAAGTTTGATTATGACAACAACATATATACTGAGTCAAAAAAGAAATTTCACAAAATGTAATTTGAAAAATAACGAATATTTTTCTCTGATGATACATCTATGTATCCGAAATGGGATCCCTATCTTTCGACTCTAGAAAAACGTTAGCAAAACCCACTCAAACCCATTCATTCGTCGTGCAAATGACGTTAGTGCCAAATCAGAAATGCAGTCGTTCACGTGATCTTCACATCGAAGTTTTCTTCATATGCACGTGTTTGCATTGGCCTCAAGAATTGAAAAAACACTTTGAAACCACAGTTCTAACGGTACTTGAAATGCCACGATTGTCAAATGTGCAACGTGAACGTGCCGTTGGCATGTTGAAAGCGGGAAGATCAGTTATTGACGTCGCAAGAGCAATGGGATGCCGCCGTAGTACTGTGTATGACTTGCGAGGTCGTCTACAACAAACTGGCACCACTTCTGATCGCCCAAGGTCGGGTCGTCCACGTGTGACGTCACGAGCAGAAGACCGTCAAATCGTCCTACGGCACCTCCGTGACAGATTTCTACCGGCTACACGAACCAGGGCTGAAATGTTTAGAGGTTGACTGTCCTCACAGACCATTCGAAATCGGTTGCGGGCTGCCAATCTCCATTCTCGACGTCCATATCGTGGGCCAATATTGACGCCGTTTCATCAAGGTCAACGTCTGCTGTGGGCCCTACGTCACCTCCGATGGACCCAGAGAGACTGGAATCGAGTCGTCTTTAGCGATGAATCAAGGTTTACCCTCAGATTCGCGGACGGCAGGCAAAGAGTCTGGAGACGACGTCGTGAACGGTATGCCCAATGTTGTGTACAGGAAGTACACAGATTCGGAGGTGGAAGTTGCATGGTGTGGGGTGCTTTCTGTGGGAACAACCGTTCCCGACTTCTGGTCATCCGTGGAACCCTCAAGTTGCTGCTTACCGCGACCAGGTGCTCACCCCTGAACTCGTGCCTTTCATGGCGGCTCATGGCCCAGGTCCACAGTTCCAGCATGATAATGCTCGGCCGCATACCGCGATGTTGACACCAAATTTCCTTCAAAACGCTTGACTCAACGTCATGGACTGGCCATCGAGGTCCCCTGACCTTAATCCAATAGAGCACGTTTGGGATGCATGAGAAGGCTTCGTGGTCTTAGGAACCAACCTCAGAATTTGCAGGAACTTGGCGCTGCCTTGCAAGAGCAATGGCGCAGAATCCCCAACCACGTGTTCACAAGCATCAGGCCGTCGATGAGGAGACGGTGTTTGGCAGTGGTGAATGCGCGGGGCGGCCATACACGATATTGAACTGAGAAATTTCGCATTTTTATTCTTGTGACATGCCATTCTGCATACCCATGTTTTGGAACGGCGGTGTAGCCTAAAGGAACTGATTATGGCACTGTCAGTGTATCGAGTACATCACACAGATCTCAGCAATGAAATAATAACAATTTAACCATCTTACCATCTCTTGTTCTTTTATAGTGCCCTGAAGAAAGAATGTGAAGTTTCTTATTTGACTCAGTATAAAATGAACAATAGATAATTCTGTATTTGGTGACCTTTATTTCTTTCTTGAATAACAAGTGAGAACTTGGGCTGAGTGACAGATGAGTCTCATATTTTCATTCCTCCAATGAAGAGGCGGAAGATCATTACAGATCTTCATCTGTATCCAAAGGTCTGTCCTTGAGCCTTAGCCTCTAAAAAACAATAACATAAACATCTAATGAAAAAGCATCTGTTTTTATATTAACAAACGTGGGTAATACTGGGGGTCTGGTGTCATTGGATCATAGGAACAAAAAGACTCCAATGATATATATTAAAACAAATTTTTTGTTTCAATATTTTCATTCTGGACGATGTTTGCATTTATTACTGCGTTGTGCATACCTTTTGAATGAGTCGTTGGACTCACCACTAATCTAACCGATAATGATTAATCCCCTTTATTAACAGTAGGATGCCACTGGTGTCAATTCTAGAAGATAGTGTCTAAAGCCATTCTCTTCCCACAGAGGTTACTTGTCATATCTTCCTACGAACCTCTGTTCTAATACGGCCATATTTACCGGTTCTCGTAAAATCTCCTAGTGGCAAAAGATCGCAACACGAATTATCTCCCTTCTTTCTATCCAATCAGAACACGTGTTACATCGACTTAGATTCAACTTGACTAACACAAGCAAATGTGGGGCCACAAATATCCCCGAGCTGCCGGGGACTTGTGTTGATGTTACACACAAAACGTTTAATGGCTAGCTTGTCCGTTGTCAACGAGGGCGATGGAGACGCCACTGATCCGCCATAACATGACTGAGTTCTGTCTAGAAGAAACGTTTGCGCATCGCCCAGGGGAAGAAGTTTAGTTTTCTCGAAGCATACGGAAATTACCGAGGCCTTGCGAGTGATCACTTTTGAAACAACGTCGCTGATTGCACAACTAAATCTGATTGCCTCCAATCACGAGTCTTGAACGCTCACACCATGAAAGGGCCGTATTAGAACAGAGGTTACGTAGGAAGATATGACAGGAGTAACCTCTGTGGGAAGAGAATAGTCTAAAGCAGTAAATTGACCTTTCTGTTGTATGTCACTTTCTATTGAAACTGGTTATTCAAATATATACTGAACCGCAAAAGAAACGCAAGTCAAAATCCAGATTTTGAAAAACTTTACTTTTGACAGATAATACATGAAAACAGGTACATAATAACAATCAACACTTGTTGCATGATGATTGGGACATGTCAGTCAATGCATGGAAACATTGTTGGTTTACTTTGCCTTGAAGACAAAATAGAAATTGATCCAACAAGTCAGTAGCGCGTATGTCCACCTCGTGCATTCACTACACCTAAGCACCGCCTGAAGATGCAGTGAATCAGACGGTTGACAAAGGCCCTAGGTGTTGCCGCACATGTCCGGATGATGGCTGCCTGGAGTTCTGCTGCAGTTGTCTGTCGTCTGACTTCATTCAGTCGTCTCTGCAGCTCGTCCCAAAAAATGAACGATCGGTTTAAATCGGGACTGACAGCAGGCCATGGCAGTAGTCGGGTGTTATGCTGCTGGAAAAATGCCAGAGTGACTCTAGCAGTGTGGGGCCTGGCATTATCTTGCTGAAGAATGTGTTGTTGGTGTCGGACGAAAAATGGCACAACCTGGGGTCGGAGGATCTGGTCGATATAACGTTGGGCAGTGACTCCATTTCCCCGACCTGGCCCAATATTCTTGAAGAATACTGGCCCTAATCTCTGATTCAGGCCAATCGCTGCCCATACCATAACACTCGGACCTACCCATGCATCATCTTGCATTACACATTCGTCAGCAAAGCGTTCACCTCGTCTTCGCCATATTCGAACTCGGCCGTCAGCATGAGAAATGCAAAACCGACTTTCATCAGAGAACAATACCAGTCTCCACTGTTGATGACGCCAGTTTCGATGCAACGTAGCCCACTGCAGACGATTCTGACGATGGCTCGGTGTGAGGATAGGACGTCGAACTGGACGACGACAACGGAGGTGGACTGCTCTGGGTCTGCGCCGAACTGTCCGCTTATTGCTCGGTTGTGACGTCCAATAGTCTGTCGGGCAGTCTCGTTGGCAGATAAGAATCGATCCCCGATGTGCGAACGTTGAATGTGTCGATCTTGCCGTGGTGTTGTGACTCTCGGACGTCCAGGACGTTGGCGGTCAGCAGTGGTCTGTGTAGGAGCAAAACGTTCCTGAAGACGGTAGATGGTCGTTATGTGCACATGGAATGCATTGGCAACATCTGCAACACTCTGTCCAGCTTCAAGACGGCCGATGGCTTGTTCCCTCTGTTGCGTCGTTAACCTTGACATTCTTGGTGGGCGTTTGTCGGGAGTGATTTCAAACTGATCTGAGGGCATTTTTATACCCCTATGTGTCCGTGACATAATGCGCATCATGATTTTCATGACAAACTTCTGCAACCACATCCCACGGCCAATTCAATTGCTGCGTTTTGGCGATGTGCAATATCCAAGAGAAATCACCAAACAGAACCTGAACATTAACAAACTGTTTTCTCACAACAAAGGTAACCAATGTGTAGTTACACTATAATATTTAAGAATGTTCTGTCGAATATTTATTCATTTTGAAAAACTTGCGTTTTTTATGCGGTTCAGTATAGAATAAATATAGCAAAGTCCAAGGGCTTCTTTTCATTTCATTTTATGAATATCATTTAGGATCTTTTTTGTTGACAGTAAAATATGTTCATTTCAGAGATTAGATGCTGGTCTAACTTATTGTCTGAATATAACTTCTTTGACCAGTTATATTGCGGCGCCATGCAGTGTAGCCACGCCTTAGCGTGATTCAGAACAAGTCTCAATATTGAATACTTGCTTGGAATATATCACATATTAGGAATAACAATGTTTGTGCGATTGGATATTCTGTATGTCACCCAATAAATAGCATAGTATGAGTATTGTGAGACATACATTAAGCTTGAGAAAACGTCTTTAGTGTCGTATTCCTGATCTCTCATACTCCCTTGATCGTGAGGGTCAGTTGTGTTAGGGTCAACACAGGTTATCCTCAGTTATTGGCTCTTGGCGAACGTATTCTATAGCGGCCCCGGTTCCTTTGACTCGCATTATACATTGTACCACGTGATACATGGTGTTTAGAAAACAGAAACACACTCTGTTATTAATCTCTTCATACACAAAAAGAATCATGTCATCGGGACATGGCCTTTTTCATTGTGTTAAAGTTCCAACTTATATATAATATTATTCTCAATTATATATCAAGGCAATAATCAAAGACATCCTTTAAAATTGCTTAGAAAGAACACTTTGTCTCTTTGAACATATGTCACCTGTTTAAACTTTGATTTGTTTGAATATCACAACAAATTGGGAATGTCAGTATTTTAGTATCTCTGTTTAAGCAATGGCAATAATCTTTAAAAACAATCATAACATGATTTATCTCGACCTTCCAAGTGCAATTATTACTGAGAAATAATTGCTAAATGCGTAATTCTACCTCACATGTAATATTCCCATTAAGCTAAGACCCGCCTGATCAAGATGTAGTAATTTTGGCCTAGCTGTAGCAACTGGAAGATATTCCAAAACTTCATATACTGAAAGAATTTGTCCACTTTGCAGTTCATGAAGTTGAAGATGAAGTTCTTATTTATTTTATTGATACCGGTTACAGTACGCTGAAACTTACCTCAATAAATTTAGCAGATGTTTACAGGAAGAATACCAGTTATGCAGCACTTTGTTAATGTGAGTAGCAAATTATGATACTATGTACATGTATAACATTTGCTGTTGTCTGTCTAAACTTCAACAGTTACAGAAAAAGGATGAATGTTGTACTATTGGATATCAGAAATGTTGACACAAGAACACTCTCGCTATGTGTATGATATGAACATGTTGTAATGAGGGGACCCATGGCATTCATGCTGAAGTATATGTTCTCTCTTCGTCATACCATATACACATCAACATCATCAGAAACATTAGCCATGAACCGCTTGGACAATACTTGTTACACAAAATATCCTGTAAACAGACACCGGTTCTTGATATAAATATTTCTAAATGTTAGAAAATGTAAGATTTAGTTATTTCCGATATCCAGAGCTTCCGACGGCTTCAACCGTATAGACAACGGCTTAACGTTGTTCATCACTGACGTGGACGACGTGAACCCCGTGATCTCTACTGGGGGCACATCTGTTCAGGAGGAGCTACCGATAGGGACCAAGGTGTATGCATTGTTTGCTGTCACCGACGAAGATACATTCAAGAACTTCACTTATCAACTAACAGGTAAGGATAAACAAAGCACATGATGAGATACATTGTTGAAGTTGTCTGCAAGTAGGTATATGTGATAAACAAAGCACATGATGAGATACATTGTTGACGTTGTGCAAGTATAATATGACCAGAAATTATTGAGAATTTTAGGAATATGTTCAATTGGATTTCTAGTATAAATAACCTTGACCAGCTATCAAGTGCTTGGTTTCATTCAAGAGAGACAACTCCGTTAATCCTTTTTCGTTAGTTTGTGAAGAGTTATCCCCCCTTTGTTTACTTGCTAGCAGACGACATTTTCAGTGATTCTCAGTATGGATGATTTAGAGAAGAGGAATGTGATTTTAGAGTATTATAACAAGGACATCAGATCAGCCAAAGTGATTTCAAGTAGAACAGGCATCCCTTTGTCCACTGTTTATTGTGCTTTGAAATATATTGCAAATGGATATGGCATTGAGCACCAGGGAGGCGCAGGTAGGCCCAGAAAATTGACTGTCGGTGACAGGAGGCGGCTTGGTATTCTTGTTTCTAAAGAGAAACGAAGGAGTTTAGAAAACTTAAGGCTGGATATGATTGATAGAGGAACTGTGAATGTCTGTAAGGATACAATTAGAACTGAGCTGCATGCAGTGGGTTGGCAGAAAAGTCGAGGAATTCCATCACCGATCATGAAACCTGAACAAAAGGAGCGAATGTTGAACTGGTGCCTACAGCATAGAAATTTTAACTGGGACGATGTAATTTTCTCAGATGAAAGTTCTGTGTGGCTGTTTCCTAATACGCTGAAATTCTGGACCAAACAAACTGAAAAACCTTTGTATCAGCGCCCAAAGTACAGTCCGAAATTTAACGTGTGAGGTGGCATATCTGTGTTAGGGGCAACGCCCCTCTGTGTATTTGAAGGGAATATGGACAGCGAGCAGTACACAGATATTCTCGAGGGCCATTTACTTCCATCTTCTCACGTGTTCTATGGAAATTTGTGGATTTTCCAGCAGGACAACGACCCAAACCATCGTTCAAAGCATTCACAGGCCTGGTTTCGGACCCAAAATATGACATTATTAGATTGGCCAAGCTATAGCCCTGACCTAAATCCAATAGAAAATGTTTGACGACTTATTAAGGAAAGTGTCAATGAGAAAAATCTGACAAATATTGCTGAAATGAAAGAAGAGTTGGTCCGATATTGGGACAGCATGGACCACGACTTTCTAACTTCTTTGATCAGTAGTATGCCCCGCCGCATTGATGCCTGCATTGCTGCCCATGGTGACTTGACAAAATACTAACTGTTCACCTGTCTTTGAATCTGGAGTTATGTTCTGCTAATATTCACATTTAATACGTGAGTAATGAGTGAAAAAACATAAAAAAATTACAATCTTAAATTCTCAATAATTTCTGGTGGTACTGTAGGTAAATTTGATAAACAAAGCACATGATGAGATACATTTTTGAAGTTGTCTGCAAGTAGGTAAATGTGATAAACAAAGCACATGATGAGATACATTGTTGAAGTTGTCTGCATGTAGGTAAATGTGATTAACTCTATACAGTATGACAATGTGCAAAGCAAAACGAGAAGAGAAAGCTACAAGGTCAGACTCCAATGTCCGGTTGTGGAAGTTGTATGTGTCACGAGAATTTCCGAAGAAATCAAGCTCCCAAACTGCACGATTTTACAGCCATGAAGGGCATGACCTCGACCAGGACGAGCAAGGGGCGGTGTCTTTCGGTTATGAGCACAAACATGTTATTTATTGGAACCAAACGGTTAAGAGCTTTTTATAAAGTTGTTTTATGGTAACAACTTCTGTTTATACTTTATCACGACTTGTCAGAACTAATTCTTGTTCCTTCGTCATTTGAAGTATGAGTTGAAGTATGCACAGAGTTAATACATATTGATGGAACATGTTAACACAAGGTGGGAAATTGTACAAAGATAACAATATAGTGACGAAGTCAAGAGGAAGGGATCCGCTTAATAGTAATAATGATAACAACAAACCTGATGTTATTGTTTTTGGTAAGGCCAATGAATTTATTTTTATCACTGAATTTTCTGTCCCTTTGGACAGCAAATTGAAACGATTTAGGAAAATGCATGCTAAATATGCGGACCTCGCCTTTTTAATGCAGAAGGCTGCAGTGCAGTCTTCATATTCTCCGGAACGTTCTTGGTGGTTTCGACCAGGCAGCGTTTCCTGGGAGAAGTCCTATTCGCTGTCTGGGCTGCATGTAGAGGGTACAAGGGCACTGAGCTGATGATGAGCCTTACCAGCCTGACTGTGCCAGGATCACCCGAACCCTCTCTGCTGCATACTATATTTAATCTGTAAAATATATGTTTCTATAGCGCCTAACTTCCATCCATACAGGTTGCTCAGTGGCGCCTTGTACAGGAGATATAAGGAAAAGTCATTCAGAATAGCTAGTCAAAGGTTTGCTTGAAGAGTTGTGTCTTTACGAGAGTCTTAAAATGAGGTTTGTTAGAGAGAGTCCTTATAGGAAGAGGCAGTTCGTTCCACAGTAGAGGAGCTGAGGCAGAGAAGGCTCGATCACCCATTGTTGTTTTCGTGATTGGGACTGATAGGCGAATATGGTCGACAGAACGGAGAGTACGGGTTGGATGGTATATGCTGTCAAGACTTCTGAGATAGGGACGCGATGATTCATCATAGACACGATTTTGGGCTAGAAGAAGTATCTTGTACTGAATACTGAATATGAATCCAAGATTTCTTGCAGGTGGAATGGTGCAACATTGCTGTTGCCAATGTTAAGTGACAGACCTGCAGGCACTTGTAAAACTGCTACTTAGGACCAAGAAGTAGAAATTCTATTTTACTGTCATTTAATGTGAGAATATTCACAGTCATCCAGCCTCCATGACACAGGCTACAATTCGACTAATTGCAGCAGCGATTTCAGATACCTTATGGATATGTAGATCTGATTGTCGCAGCAAAGATACGTACAAATCTACAAAGTATATATATGTACCAATGTACGAAGATAACAAGTATATATTCACGAAGCTAATTAGATAGGGCACAGGTTACAGTAGCGCAAATAGGGTTGCGCAACAGAGAGAAACATTACCAGTCTTCCTATGTGCGAGCGAAGCAAGCAAAGGTTGGCAACGTACTTCCTTCGCTTCGTTTCTTAGTGTATTGTTCTGAAATTATATATCATGTCTAGTATTTGATGTTTTAAGAGCAACATGTTGCATTTGTTTCGGTCAGTTAACATCTCATAATCTGCAAGCAGTCAGTCACTCATTCATTTAATCCATCCACGTGTGCAGGTGCTGACATGGCGTTTTTCTCAGTCGATACTGATGGTGTGCTGAAGATGGAACAGAGACTAGACAGGGAGATGAAGGGCACTGTGTCGGTGACGGTAACAGTATTTGACTCTGCCTCGAACAGCGCCACTTCCGATCTCACACTCACTGTCACAGACATCAACGATAATTCTCCAATATGTGACCAGGACATGTACTTTATCAACATAGCAGAGGGCACATCTGATGGTAAGGGCATGGTCTATCATAGCAGAGGGCACATCTGATGGTAAGGGCAGGATCTATCATAGCAGAGGGCACATCTGATGGTAAGGGCAGGATCTATCATAGCAGAGGGCACATCTGATGGTAAGAGCAGGATCTATCATAGCAGAGGGCACATCTGATGGTAAGGGCATGATCTATCTCACACTCAATAGGTTTCCAAATTCTAGTCACTCTAGTCGCTCTAGTGAGGTTTGGCTGTAAGCAGCACCCTAGTAAGAAACACAACAGTGTCCACGTACCCTACTCACTAAAATGATCAAATCGGTAAGAACTGTTAAGGCCATAATATGACCACACTGTCCACACTGGACTTTAAGTCCAAAACATTATTTGATATCTGAATTCAACGTACAATTTTATCAAGTTTCTCCCTTTCAAGTGCTGTTATTGTCACGTGAACAGCAGCGTCTATCGGTATGCTTGGCTGTCATAGGTCACAGGCGGGTAACACAGTGGTCGAAGCAGTATCCATTTCTACCGTTCTGCGTAGATTGTTACATGCCATTGCCGTATTGTTTTACAGCTCGTCCATTTACTTGATCTAATATGCATGGTCTAGCTCCTGAGTACATCAGTGAACGCCTATCAACCTACACTCCAAGGAGAGATCTCAGGTCAAGATCATCAAGAGCACTGGATGTTCCTATGACCAGGAAAAGACACTATGGGGATAGATCGTTGTCCAAAGCCGGCCCCTGGCTCTGGAACCGTCTTCCTCGACACATTCAGAACATTGTCAATCTCGACCAGTTTAAACAGCAACTGAAAACCCACTGTTCAACACAGCCTTCGCCTAAGCGCATTTGAGCAATATGTTGGAACAGGCGCTATACAAATATTAACCTTATTATTATCTATCATAATATGTCGCAATTGCTGGAAACTGTCACGCATATTTTATTATTCAATAAAGCAACAATAACGGTGAGAATATTTGTTAGAATGATGAGGAAAGGCTCGTTAACAGCCAAAAAATGAAAATTCGCATCTTTTCCCTCCAAGCAACAAATACGTCAACTAATATCAATCTGAAAGTGAATAATTTAGCGGCCATCACAACTTACCTAGAGCAAGGCAAGCCATAAATACGAAATATTATTGCTTCCTAAAGCAAGCCTGGGGCATGACATGTTGATTGGCGACGAAGCGGAGCAAAAAGCATGGTTTCCCCGTCCATTTTAGGCTTAACGTACCGGATGCTCATCAATTACACAATGTTATTAATTGTCCGTCTTGTGCCCATGGAAAAACGGACGTTTTCGTGTTTGTAGAGAAAAATGTAGTACCACATGTTATATGTATTCTTCAGAAAACATTAAACTGATGGAAGCAATCAGCTGCAGTGACGATGACGATGGCAGTGCCAGCGACATGGCTGCGACAATTTTCTCCGGAGACACCAACAACATATTCTCCTTCACAGGCTTAGAAATGTTTGGATCACCGAAACTGGCGGACTATGAGACTCTAGAGGGCAGTGACTACAGCTTCTATTTGACTGTACATGTCACTGACCAACCCACCTCGGGGCCGGTTATGACAGGAACCGTCCATGTTGTCGTTCAGGTATAGCATAATCAGTGTGTGCGTACGTGCGTTATATCCATGTAACCGCAGACAGATAGTGTTGCTCACGTTGGCCGGGAGGTTTACCCTGACTAGACGATAAGTGATATAGGCCAAATATTTTTGACATTTCAAATTCAACCACCGCCTCTTCCGGATTCTTGTGTTCTTTCCTCATTCCCAATCATATCCTTTTAGTAAATCGGAGATGTGGTCGGTTTGTATTTGTTAAACTGAATTAGATAAATCACGACAGCTATTCCTTCGCTTCAGGTCTCGCCCGCCAATGAGCACGACCCGTTGTGGAGTTCGCCCTCTTCAACAGCAGGAGAGTTTCCGGAAGTCACCATCTCTGAGGACACCCAGCATGACGCCGTCATTGTGACATACACAGCTACTGATGATGATCACGGTGTTGACGGAACGCTGTCCTACGAGATCGTGTCTGTCACAGGAAGTAAGTAATAGTCTCATCAGGGTCACGAGGACGTTAATCAAACTTGTTATCCATGATATTACTCAGGTTCAAATGAAACTTGTTATACATATGTACTCAGGTCCAAATGAAACGTGTTACCTATGAGATCTACTCAGGTCCAAATGAAACGTGTTACCCATGAGATCTACCCAAGTCCAAATGAAACGTGTTACCTATGAGATCAACTCAGGTCCAAATGAAACGTGTTACCCATGAGATCAACTCAGGTCCAAATGAAACGTGTTACCTATGAGATCAACTCAGGTCCAAATGAAACGTGTTACCAATGAGATCTACCCAAGTCCAAATGAAACGTGTTGCCTATGAGATCAACTCAGGTCCAAATGAAACGTGTTACCTATGAGATCTACTCAGGTCCAAATGAAACGTGTTACCCATGAGATCTACTCAGGTCCAAATGAAACGTGTTACCCATGAGATCTACTCAGGTCCAAATGAAACGTGTTACCCATGAGATCAACTCAGGTCCAAATGAAACGTGTTACCAATGAGATCTACCCAAGTCCAAATGAAACGTGTTACCCATGAGATCTACTCAGGCCCAAGTGAAACGTGTTACCAATGAGATCTACCCAAGTCCAAATGAAACGTGTTACCTATGAGATTTACTCAGGCCCAAGTGAAACGTGTTACCAATGAGATCTACTCAGGTCCACAAATATATCGATTAATGTAATTACATATGTTTCAAGGTGATGGCAGTGATGGAAGCGGCAAGTTTCTGCTTGATAGTATAAACGGAGAATTAAGGGTATCGGACATTCTGGACTCTGACACGGAGACAGGGGGGGCAACCCACTACGACATCGTGATCAAGGCTGTGGACGGAGGCGTCCCACCAAAAAGTGTAGAGGCAACACAGAAAGTAACACTTACCAACGTCAACGACAATGCTCCTGTATTCAAAAACGCTCCGCTTGAGGTGACAGTAGCTGAAGACGTGTCCATAGGTGATGTTGTTCTGCAGCTGACTGTTACAGATGCTGACGGCGACACTCCAACATTGTCAACAATAGACAGCACAACTTTCACGATAAGTGCATCGGATCTTGTGACAGCAGCATCCTTAGACTTCGAGGCTGCGACCTGTTACAGTGTAGTTATGAGGTTGGGTCAAGAGTTTTACTTGTTATAAGCTTCTTACTTCTGTATATAATATGTGTTCCAGCAATATTTAATTAAAGGGTTCCGTGCGGTACAATGGAAATCAAATGTTGTTCTGAGTAAACATTTGCTCGAAAGGACAACACCTGCAATACAACCCTATTCATTATCTGTCGTTCTAGCTTTCACGGGTAAAGTATTATCATCTAGTTAAAAGGTAGAATGTAGAGCTTGCCACGGTACCGTTTTGGTCCTGGTATCCCACGTGTGAAGAACGTCATGCAGGCAATGTTTACATAGTTTACCCTGTCTTTCTGTAGTGCGACTGACGGCACCTTTACGACCCCCTTGCCAATAACAGTGACGGTGACCAACGTCAACGACGAAACACCAGTTATAATAGTAAACACGGACTTCAAAATATTTGAGGAGACGCCCGTTGACACTGTCCTCCCAGGAGCCTTCACCGTCAACGACGCGGACGTTGCGGACACATTCACTTATAGTCTAGCAGGTAAGGTCTTGGCACGAAAGCTGCAATAACATTTGAGAGATGAAACAGACAAAGTCTCAGTATATATGATGAGGCACTAAACGTTGCCACTGCTGAGGTTAACATGTTGTCTGTGCCGCTCCTTTCACAGGTAAACGCCCCCGGATACAGTACTGGTTAAATGTACTTTTACATTCAAAATCAGCTTACTGTGCTGCCTGGTTCAGGCCTTATACTGGTTGCATTTGAAATGGCTTTGATATGGCTGCCATACTAGCGATGGGAAGTGACACATGTGACATAATTCAGCGTATATACAAATAAACCAGAAACTCTCACTCAGGACTGGGACATACTTTAATTGCAGGAGAAACACAAAAGCACAGTCCCAGTGATTACACGTTATGTTTACACATGTAGAAGGAACTATAACACATCAGTGAATTTTATAATCTAAAAAAGAAAATGAGAATGGAACACATTTGACTAAAATCATAAAGGGTGATGGAATGATGGTAATGGGTGGATAAAAAAAGGCAGGACAAGGTGGAACAATCAGCCAAGGAACATAGCAGTGTGTGAAGTGAAAAACCGGACTTTTAAAAGGGACTCGTTCTTCCGATTAAGAGATCCTCGTCACACCTCTTGTAGCGCCATAACAGTTGAGCGTACACGTCTCCCGATCATGTTATAGGCGTCTCTATGGCCTTCTGGTAAAGTATACTATTACAATTGTATAACTTATTTCTATCACAACAGTGATGAAATTGTTTAAGTACCATACATCTGCAGGAGCTGACGTCTCGTATTTCACAACAACTTCGTCTGGAGACTTGAAGATGGCAGATAGAATCAGCTTCAGTGGTCGAAACGTCACCGTTGATGTAACGGTGACAGACGGCGCCTCACACAGTGCGACGGCGACGTTGACCATCCCCATTCAGGACATCAACGACAACTCTCCACAGTGTGAACACAATGTGTATGAGGTGGAGGTGAAGGAAGGAGCGGGAGGTTGGTGAACTCTAGTTATGAATAAGACTGGAGTGACATCCATGTCTGTATCTTCCTCATGGGCGTTTTAGATGTTATTAGATTCACAAAAAAATGTTTAAACTAACCTTTCGGTAATACACGTTAGTGGTTGCATTATGAAGAACAGTCATATAATAATAGCATCAGGGTAACAGAGCATTTCATATACATCATTACCAGTCAATGACAAGTAGCAACTAAGCTGAACATAGTCACCAACTACTTCAGTTTACCCTGTACAGAGGTAGGCCTTATTCCAATGCTGGATACATACCCGTCACTATTACACATACACAAGGGTGCTCGGAGGTCGCAGTGTCCGGGAATCGCGAAGCAGTCTTTGACTCTTATTGAAAAGGGTTTTGGTTTTTACAACAGCACACTTGCTTGATAATATGTTTTATAAAACTTTTCCCAAGAGTAGTTTCAATAAATTAGTCCAGGGTAAGTGTTCCATCCTATATTTCGGTTATGACCGCTGAAGATATATATGCCTTATAATCCTAAACACAATCATGCCCTGGTCATAATTATTTGTCCATACTGAGTGGACATTTAAGACTCGTTCTGATCAATATGGCCTCAAGGACCAGTGATTATGACCAAATCTAGATGTTGTTATATCTGAAGGATTTGTTTCATATAATAGTAATATTATCATCAAATCTGCAAACACTTAAGATTCTCGAATAGATTTGTTTTATGCAATACAGTTCAATGGTTCTGTGAATTTACCTATGTCCCTGACCAAATAATATGAATGTTCAGGTTATGTGAAACTGAAGGACGCGATCACGTGCAGCGACAGCGATGGTGAAAACAACTCAGTTATGCAAATCAATATCACCAGCGGAGACGACGGTGGGCTGTTTGCCTTTCAGGGCTTCGAGCTCTGGGGAACACCAAACAACATCGACTATGAAGCTCTTGCGGCGACCAACTATCGGTATTACCTTACCGTCATGGTGAAAGACACACCGGACCATGGAGAGCCGCGAGCGGACAATCTCGCCTATATTGTCACGGTAAGGGCAGCACACTCTTCTTGACATTGTATGGAACTGGTAACCCAACCGTCATTTCATATTAACCAGTCATTGAACAAATAGCAAATGAAGAGTGACACATTAGGGAACACACATTTGAGTTTCAGGGGAATGAATCGAAAGCATAATGAAGACCCTGGTCGAAAAGGTTGGGGCGATTGATTCTTTTGCATGGGTAACTGAGTCACTTCAGCATCTCCTCACAGAGACGGCTTAGCCCTGCAGTCTACTGGTGATAGATCATGATAGAACTATGGCACTCCGGGTTTTGTTGTATCTCACTCGACAGCTATCGGCCAAACAAAAATGTCAATTCTGATACAGCCTGGGAAGAACAGAACGCACAGCCTCCAGATGCCCCAACAAACGTCTTTGCTGTGGTCCTGAACTGACCACAGAAACTTGCTGACGGTGTAGCCTGAAACGCAGTGAAAATTGAGCGCAGAGCAGTCTACGGTTGACATGATCTTCTCCATCCGACAGCTGCTGGAAATCTGCAGAGAGCAGAGGCATTCATCAACTGCACGAAAGCCTTCGACAATATGGACTGACTTAGCTCCTGAGTATGATCTAGTCCAGATTGATATGAGTGAGTGAGTGTTACGCCACTTTTAGCAATATTCCAGCAATATCATGGCGGGGACACCAGAAACATTTATATGCCAAGACAAGACAATCTGCCTCACAGACCTCGGTCAACTAGATTGTGTTACAAGTTACTCTGTCCTTGGCGGATACATTCAACAGGCTGATACATTCAACAGGCTGATACATTCAAGGCGCATTGGCAGAACATTCACACCGCTGACTAGAAGAGTGTGGGATACTCTCTGTAGACTCGGTATCTCAGGTATACTGCTGTATGACAGCGAGGCTCGGAGGAACATCCTCTGAATTAGCTGGAGTGAACTTGTCATAAACTCTGAAGTTCTTTCCTTTGCCACAGTCATAAGTCCCTTCTCAACACCACCGGCGACCCTGGGCTCAGCCACGCCCGTCGTATGGAGGACAACAAGAAAAGTGCTCTAATGTAGAGGTATTTCAACTATGTGGACAGGCAAAGATTTTGTTAAGCCAGAAACAAGGTCACCTCTGAAATAAGGCGAGCTAAACAAGCATCCTTCAATAGTGAAATCACTGCATCAATGCACGATTCTAAATCATTACACAGACTTATGTCCCGTCTTCTTGGCAAGGTTTCCACGCACCCTCTTACGTCATCTCAGGCCCATGAGGCTCTTCCACAGCGCTTCCAGCAGTTTTTCATGGACAAAATCCAAACGATCCGTGACTCTATGGCAGATGGAAACAACATGTCTGTGTCTGACCCTAGTGAAGTTGATCTGGAACCTATCAGTCGGTCCAGTGCAGTGTGTGTTAGACTGTCAGAACATCTCCAACAACACGATTTGTATGACAATCTCCAGTCTGCATAGCATGGTCATCACAGTACTGAGACGGCACTAGTCAAGGTCCTCGATGATCTGAGGCGTGGTGTTGATGAACACAAAGTTGGTTTATTAACCCTTCTCCATATAAGCAGTGCCTTGGATACTATCGACCATGACAAACTCATCCATCGTCTCAGGGGTGATTTCTCCATTGACGGAACGGCTCTTACTTGGTTCCAGTCGTATCTGTCGGGTCGTGTTCAGACCGTCATCATTGATGGTCATTACTCTGACTCGGCCAGCTTCAAGTATAGTGTTCCACAGGGGTCGGTCCTTGGACCAGTCCTGTTCACATTGTACATAACAGAGCTCGGAAGCGTAATTGATGAGCCCCGTGTGAATCGTCATCACTATGCAGATGATGCCCAGGTGTATAGATGTTTCACTCCTGACAAGAACCAAACAGATATTGACATGTCCCAATGCTGTGTCAGTATCAAATCCTGGATGCTAGTAAATAAACTAAAATTGTACAGCAGCAAGACCAAATCTATTCTCCTGGGTCCAGTGAAACTGAAGGATCTGTGTGCTATTGATTCCTTCGAGTTCGACAACTCACATATTCCTTTTGCAGATCAAGTCAGAGATCTTGGTGTAATCCTAGCCTCAGATTTGTCACTTGTCAATCATGTCTACAATCTAGTTAAGACCTGCTTCATCTCACTACGGAACATTGGCAATATCCGTCAATACGTGACAACTGAAACAGCAACAACTCTTGTTCTATCCCTTGTCATGAGCAGACTTGACTACTGCAACTGTCTGTTGACCGGTGCAACCAAGTCTCAGATACAAAAGCTACAAAGAGTGCAGAATGTAGCAGCCCGCATTGTGACAAGATCCAGAAAGAATGATCATATTACTCCTATTCTATACTTTCTACACTGGTTGCCCGTGGATTTCAGAATAAAGTTTAAACTTCTCTGCCTTGTCTTCCGCTGTCTGTCTGGAACTGCCCCTACATATTTATCCAGTCTTCTTTCTCTGTACAAGCCTTCTCATTCACTCCGTTCAAAGATAAAAGAACAGTGCGGTATGGAAACAGATCCTTTGCCTATGCAACACCAGTGGCCTGGAACAAACTTCCACAGAATCTCAGGGACTGTACTGACTTTGTCACTTTCAAATCCCAGTTAAAAACACATTTGTTCTGCGCTTTGAGCATGGACTGCATGGATACCAGCGCATTACAAATGTGTTATGATGATGATGATGATGATGATTTGATGATGATGATGATGATGATGATGATGTAGAAACTATGGAAACTAGTTTTGTCCCGTTTCAATATGAATATTCTCCCAATACTGGCCAATATTACTAAAATGTAGCTATAAATAGAAACATTCAAAATGATATATTCGTCACAAATCACAGGCAACCTCCATTAACATGTACAACATATGCAGGAACAAAGTTACCTCCTGTGTGACTCGACAGTGGAGCCAGAGGTTTTATTGAACCTTAAAATCGAACAAAGTGAGATTTGCATATGACATATGCGGTGAGTATGAATGGCAGAGTACATTTGTTCCCTGAAAGACTCGAGTGGAAGAGCTGGTTCGCTAATATAACCAATTCTGTTTCCTAGGTGACGGGAGAAAACGAACATACTCCCCAGTTTACCAGCCCATCGTTATCTGGAGGTAACTTTCCCGACGTCAGTATTTCGGAGGATACCAGCCCAGGCACCGTGCTGGTCAGTGTGGTAGCCACGGACCAGGATCACGGCCCGGATGGCGAGGTCCATTATGAGATTGCCTCTATCGTGTCAGGTGAGGAACGATTCGAAGGGATAAGTACGACGCACAACAATAAATATTGCTCAGGCCTAATTCTTTTCAATACTCCCTTTATCGGGCAACACCAATGAGCTTAATGCCGATGGTAACCCACTGTGTTGTTCACCGCCTCCGTAGTGTAGTGGTTAGAGCGTCCACCCGGAGAGCGGAAGGTCGCGGGTTCGATCCCCGACCGCGTCATACCAAAAGACGTTAAACTATGGTACTTGTTGATCCCTGCCTGGCGCTCGGCATTAATGGGTACAACAAGGACTGGTCGGCTCGGAGTCAGTATAATGTGTCTGAGTGGGGTATTCATGCTTCACTGCGGCATGGTATCTCAGTGGGCTAGCACTATAAAACCAGCTTGAGTCTGGGCTAGTACAAGCAGCCGCACATACACACGCATGCATATCGTCATATGAGCGAAATATTCTCAAGCACGACGTTAAACCCACTGTGTTGTTGATACACGTTCAGCCAATCAACAGGAGAGCCGAGATACCAGATGCCGGCTTAGAGAGCGTTAATTACTGTACAAACAATCAATTGGGCGGTTTTTATTGTGCCGAGATACGGAATAGACTGACGCCGGATTAGAGGTCGTGAAAATGATAATAAATTCACTAGCTTCTGTCGGGACCAAATTCTAGTGCCGATATTGAGAGCATGCCGGATTGAAGGGCTTCCACTGTAGAGGGCTTTCACTGTATAAATTATACTCTTTCTCCGAAACTACTGTACTCATACTGTTCAAGTTATATTTCTTAACTTTCCAGACACAGGCGTCAACGGCAATGGCGTGTTCTTTGTAGATAGCATCAGTGGTAACGTGTACGTTGGGAAGGCTCTCGATTCAGATGGTGACACGGGAGGCGTATCTTTCTACGAAATAGTTATCAAGGCGGTGGATGGAGGTGCAACACCAAAAGAAGTCCAAGGTACAATGAAGGTCACATTAACAGACACAAACGACAACGCCCCTGTGATGAACGTAGTCCATGACGTCAAGATGTCCGAGTTAGCGGCTGTTGGTGATGTTGTGGTGGAGGTGACAGTCACAGATGCTGACGGTGATACCCCGACACTGACGATAGGAGGAGACCACGTTGCCTTTTTCTCCGTAACCGGTAACCAGATCACCTTGCAGAGTCCTCTGGACTATGACGATAGATCCAAAGCTTGCCTGTCAGTGCAAGTAAAGTACGTATCACGTATCATTACACAACATTTCGTTATCAATGTTGACATCTTAGCTTTTGTTGTCTAAGTAAAGATAACAGTTGAAATAGTTTAAACTCTCATTGGTGTAAATCATGTGAGTATAATTGAAACCTCATGACATCCTTTGCTAGTGAAATGCTACAAGTCTTGTTCATGTAGGGGGTTGAAGTATTGTAAAATTATTGTCCTCCTGAGAGAGTACGGAAGTCCCAAAACATTCAAAGTAAATTTAAACCCACTACTATTTTTAATCGTAGTATATATGTTATTTTAATTTATGGCTAGATTATCTAAAATTGCTAGTAGCTGATGGGATGGTGTCAATCCATCTAGGGTCCATGCAGGAAGCAAAGGTACTGTATGTCCCAATGGTCCATAGTATGGTTTTCTGCCTTCAGTTGTTGGCAATATATTGCCTGTTTTTATATTGCATTGTTTTCTGTAATTGAAATATTTTAGATTGTCATTCTAATTTTATGTTCATATGTGTGATATTCTAGTTCTTCATACTGTCCTTCGTTGACAGGTTTTTATAAGTTACCTTTAGTTATTGTGAAATCATAACTTGTTTTAGTCACGATATGGCTGAAATACTACCGATGTGACTTAAACTCACTCATTCACTCACTCACTCAGTGTTCATGTAGGACAAGGCCTAGCAACCCGACTGTCCCCACACATCACTGAGCAGTAGTTACACTATCAACCACACATTTGTCTGCAAGGTGAAATGATACCTCATTGCTCCACCACTGTAGCCTACAACCTCATTTATTGTCAGCTCATCCATTGCAGTGCTTCCGATGGAGTGTATTCAGTAATGGAGACGTTGACGGTCACAGTCGAGCCCGCCAACGACGTCAGCCCAAACATTTCCGTGAACGCTGACCCAAGGATGTATGAGGAGTTACCTGTCGGGACAGTTGTGGCAGGGATTTATGAAATCATTGACATTGACGAAGGGGACGCCGTAACATATAATTTAAGCGGCAAGTATACACCTTGGTACATAACCGGGCGGGTGTGTCGGTACAACTATACATCAAGGACAGCCTGAAACATTGAAGAACATATGCAGGATGAGCAATGTATTCATTTTAACGGCTAAACTCAGATGGTATCTTTGCTAATCACACAGAGCTTGTGGGCATCGGGCACTCAGAAGGTCATACATACACTGTGTTAAAGCTACCAATAAAACTGTGAAACTAACACCTGGAATGAAATAAATACAATATATACAAAACCTACAATTACTTTCCGCAGAAATAGACTCACAAATATATACTCACTTGTACAAATGCTTACCAAGTAGCCAGTTGAGAGGGATTGGTAACAGAGACGATTCGAAAATTAATGTGTAGGTAACAGAACTGTAATGAAATACAATCTGACATGTCTGTCAGTTTAGCTGATAGACCAAGTGATGCATTCCGATCCATGTAAATATGTGAACCCATATAACCTCCACCATAACTTACTCCCACAGGCCTGCATGCTTCTTTCTTTGACATTTCGGGGTCAGGAGAACTGATCATCAGTTCCACAGTTGACCGAGAGACAGTTGGTGACGACCTGACCATCACAGTGACCGCCACTGACGCCGCATCTAATGTCGCGTCAGAAGACATTACCATCACTGTAGTGGACATCAACGACAACGCACCGAAATGTGAAAAAACCGTGTACACTGAACATATTGAGGAAGCAAGCACTAACAGTGAGTCGTACCGTCAAGCAGAGATAACGATTGCCGGCAAGATGCATCCTGCTGGTGGAAAATAAACCAAGTATTTTTCATGTGACTATAGTTAATATATTATTACCATGACTACTGAACTATAGTCACATAAAAAAAATTGAATGTTCTTTACAGTTAATATATTTGGGCAGTATAATTACAGAGCTTGTTTCAATAGCAACTTATAATTGTATTATAATACGGACGTTGTACAACATAACTGTGATATTGTGTAATACGTTAGTGTTGAGCCATAACCCCAACCCCTTTCGTAACACGAATCACGTCATGTTAGAAATAAGGTACTTAACTGTCACAAATGATTGTTTTGTATTTTATGCCACTGCAGATGAGCTAGTGAGTGAGTTCTGTTTAACGCTGGACAGAATACCAGTTATAAATGACGGAGTGTCAGCTATGAGAAGAAGACCTTAAGATAACAGCATCTTGAGCTGTCCACTGTCGGGAAAGGGATGTAACGCCGTATGTACCTGTTCCCCGTCCACTCAATTAAACATATTCAGTCTTTCAGGTTGACGCTGTGGTTACTTTTGTTACTGACTTTGCGACATTAACACTTTCGACAGGACTGTACAAAATGGGAATCACAACAACTATGTACCTGGGAAGCTGTGAGGTCGATAATAGTTACCATTTCAGCCCCTTCATTGAATTTCCTCTTTGCCTTTTGATTGACAAGTTACGCATATTCCCTTCTCAGGTGATGAGAAGATCATGTCTGCCCTAACGTGTAGCGATGCTGACGCTGGTGATAATGCAGTGTTAGAAGTGGCTGTGACCGGGGGGGACGCAGGCGGATTGTTTCAGTACAAAAACATGGAGTTGTGGGGCGATGCGAGTCAGATAAACTACGAGGACCTTGAGGCCACAGACTACAACTATTACCTGACAGTTAGCGTGTACGACAAACCTTCAAAGTGGCCGGCACTCACTGGTGTCGTCATGGTAGTCCTAGAGGTAAGTGAAGGAAGGCAAATGTATGCTGTTGGTAATGCTCTTTAGTTTTGTTCATATAGTGATCCCGCATGGCTTGACATGTAAATTCAATGTATTTCAAAATAGTTTTATGTATTCACAACTTTAGTCAAGTTATAAATCTTGCTGGGCTACCTTCGGCTCGCAGAGTACTCCAAAGTTACATGGTCTCAGGTGTGCACGCCTAGCTGTTGTTACTGCTTACCAATAGCTCATATTTATAATATCGTTATGGATAATTCATATTTCGTCATGGTAATCAACAAAACTGACGTGGAAAAACAAGTATACACTGACGTCTTATGGCGGCTAAATATAAAACACACCAGAAATAGTTATTCAAGTGGTGATGTGTTTTATACGGGTTGTGTTCAGCGACTGTTTTCAGTCCAGTAATATCCAAGTCAAATCCAATTTACAGTTACGTACTTTCGTGTGAGGGGTTTTAAATACAGATCTGTGGTACACTAGTTGTTGTACTGTCGACACTGCTCTGTAATATGTAAAATCCATGTAATGTATGCCGTGTTCTAGTCTAGTATGACTGGCATCCTGCCGATGGAACTTCAACTATACATTCCTGTACTTGCTCTATTCATAATGTTTTATGTAGAAGCAAACGTGCATGGGACCGTTCATAATTTTTTTTTTGGGGGGGGAAGAGAATCATGATTTTTAAGGGGGTCAGCAATTTTGTACATGACATGCAGGGCGGTCACTTATTTTGTACCTACATTTTAGGGGGGTCATTCACATTGTGCATGCTTCTCCATAACAATCCTCATCACCCCCGTAGCCATAAATTATGAACGGTCCCTAAAGATTACGACTCCAGGTTTCGGGAACGAACGAGTTTATCCCGGAGTTCACTTCTCCGGCACCGACGTCTGGTAACTTTCCCGATGAGACGGTTAGTGAGGATACGGTCCCAGGCACATCTCTCTTCACCTACGTAGCAGCAGACGAGGACCACGGCGACGACGGGAAAGTGCACTATGAGATCGTGTCAATTACAACAGGTATGACACATGTACCTGTGGGGCCGGAGAGGTGTAGGATGGTCGTCCACTACACACCCCGTCAGTGGTCCACCATGACTTAGTATTGATGTAACAATTACAATGATAACCAATCTATATAATTGGGAAAAAAGGTATCGCAACCCCCCATATGTGTTATAGTATCAAATGTTACCGATAACATTGGCAAAGGAACGTAAACAAAGCTCACTTTAACTTACTATTTGCAGCATGATACATTGACCCTAAAGTTGAATGGCAAATCTAAACGCAAAAAAGAACGATAAATGGTGTGTTTTCTGAGAAGCACACGTGGCCCAACATTTATTCATTTTGTAGAGCTAATAACTATGGTAGCTAATAACTATAAATAGACTATGTCTCTGAATATATATAATTTTGAAGGAAACAAACATTCCATTTAAATTGCAAAGGAGCCCCAGTGAGTTGGGAGATTGAAATCTAGACTTGCTTTGTCGACCATGAATATTGGTCTTGTGTTCAGAGGATGGCCACCGGAACGTAGTACAACAATCCATTCCAGGATGTCAGGGATGTAGCACTGGCCATTCACATAAAGTCATTTGAGTCAAGTTTACAGTCATTTGAGTCATGTTTACAGTCATTTGCGTGTCCACACACACCATCAATTAACCCCCGCCATACTGCATTTGCTCCAAGATATTCCCTTGTGCATATGCAGTGTTTCTGCGGCGCCAAACACGAGCTCGGCCATGGACGGAAACTATCGCCTTCCATCCGACCAGTTGACCTGTCCACATGAACTCAAATTCAAATTCGAGCTGTTTTGGAAAACAACGGACGTCTGATAGGTCGTCTGGCACTATAACCCGCCGAGTTTAGGGGATTTCGGACCGTTCTGACTAACGACAATGTGGAAGCCACTCTGTCCTTAACATGCCACATGCCTTAACATGTCATTAACGGATGAGTGAGTGAGTGAGTTTAGTTTTACGCCGCACTCAGCAATATTCCTCCAATTCTAATTCCTACATCTCTATCGATCACTGGTACGTTCCAAACTTGATTATTGCTCCATCGTGTATGGTGGAGCCTGCCAAAGTAACCTCAAACTATTAGATTCTGTCCACCACCACGGTCTATGACTTTGTCTTGGTTCCTTTAGAACTTCTCCTGTTGACAGTCTCTACGTTGAGGCCGATGAGCCATCTCTTACACAACGCCGTATAAAACTATCCTTGCAGTATGTAACAAAACTATATTCTAATGAGTCAAATCCTGCATTTAACTGTGTTTTTAATCCTCTTTATGAGGATCTGTACAACAAAAAGCCTTCTCTTGGTCCGTCTCTTGGTTTGAGAATTAAACCATTCATTTCTGCTGCCGGCATTGAGCTGGACAATATAGCTCCTTCCCGTCTTCTTTCTTCTCCTCCTTGGCAATTAGTGAGACCACAAGTTGACCTCACACTGACAAAATTTAAGAAAGCAGAAACTAATGATTTACAGTATAAACAAGAATTTAGTCAATTAAGAAATAAATATAATACATATAAATCCTTATTTACAGATGGATCCAAGGATGGTGGCTTGTGCCACTGTCATTGGATCCAGAACAATATCTTCTCGACTACCAAATAATAGCTCTATTTTCAAAGCAGAAGATAACGCCATATTAACAGCTCTTAAATATATAAATACACACCGTAAATATAAACAATACATCATCTTTTCTGATTCTCTTTCGTGTCTTCAGGCTATTAAAAATCTTTCTTGTAAACATCCACTTTTATTAGAAATTATTGAATTGTTTAATGAGCTTGCTACTGGCCAATGCGAGATCGTCTTCTGTTGGTTACCCAGCCACGTTGGCATTTCTGGGAACACAATGGCCGATCTTGCTGCCAAGGCAGCACTCAACAAATCTGTGACACCACTTCTTATTCCATACTCTGATTACAAAGCTACCATTAGATCTTATATTCATGATCTGATGCAGAAGAAGTGGTAGGTATTAATAAATTACATGAAATAAAACCCTATATTGGTTACACCTACTTGGGATGTCAGTCCAGATTTGAAGAGGTCATCATGCGACGATGTCGCATTGGCCATACAAGGTACACTCACAAATACTTGTTAAAAGGTGAAGATCCTCCGTTTTGTATCTTTTTTGTGATGAGAGAGTCACAGTCAAGCATCTCCTGCTTGACTGTGTTGAATTCTCCATCATAAGGGATAAATATTTCAATGTTAAAACTGTTAAGGATATGTTAAGAAATACTGTTCATCTTCATTTAATTCTTGCTTCTTTAAAAGAAATTGATTTAATTAATGAATTTTGATAAATTTGTTCTGTAGATAGATGTGTTTTAATTATCGGTAGTTTTGATTAGTAACTTAGATTGTTAGTGGCTGTACTCTCAAGGGGGGGTTGAAGTATCGTAAAATTATTGTCCCCCCTGAGAGGGTTCGTAAGTCCCAAAACTTTGAAAGTAAATTTAAACTTACCGGGATTTTTAAAGGTAGTATTCTTGTTATTTTAATTTTGGCTAACATTTCTTATAATCGCCAACGGCTGAAGGGATGGTGTAAATCCAACTAGGGTCCATGCAGGTAGCGAAGGTACTGTAAGTCCCCATGGTCCCTAGTATGGTGATCTACCTTCTGTTGTTGGCGATCTTTAGCCTGTTTTTATATTGCATTTTCCCAATAGTGCTATTAGTTTTAAACTTTCCACGCTAGTTTTAATTCTAATTGTGAGATTCTAGTTGTTTTACTGTCCTTCGTCGACAGGTTTTTATAATGTACATATATTCCACTTCAAAATCAAATATGTTCTCGTCACGATATTGCTGCATTATTGCCGATGGGACGTTAAATAATAGCTCACTCACTCACTCACTCAGCAATATTCCAGCTATATGGCGGCGGTCTGCAAATAATCGAGTCTGGACCAGACAATCCAGTGATCAACAGCATGAACATCGATCTGTGCAATTGGGAACCGATGACATGTGTCAACCAAGTCAGCAAGCCTGACCACCCGGTCCCGTTAGTCGCCTCTTACGACAAGCATAGTCGCCTTTTGTGGCAAGCATGGGTTGCTGAAGACCTATTCTACCCCGGATCAGTAACGAATGAAGTCATATGATTCCGAGAATGGTTGTATGCTCCCGTTGTCACTCCTTGACGATCTGAACGCAGACGGTCCTTAACGTCATTTGGATGACAACCACCATTTCTTGCAATGGCCCCCAATGGCATACCAGGATTCCACATGTCAATGAATTGCTATTGTTGAGCAACTCTCACTTTGGGAGGCTCCATGTTTAGTTTTCAACAAAAAAATCAATCGATTTTCCAAGTTATCGAAATGTAGATTGAAATTGTACACATGCTCAATGATGGGTAAACGTATTGCACGTAGCACATGCATGTCTAAATTCAGTGTATCTTGCGTCCGAAGGGTGAAATAGTCATAAATCAAACATAATTATTAATGAAATGAATATTAATGACTAAATGGGGGTGAGAAATCATTGATGTTACGATACTTTTTTCCCAGGTGTATAATCAATTGACATTCCATAACATATTGTCTACTCCACAGACACCGGCAACAGCGCATCAGACACATTTGTAATCGACCGAGACAGCGGTATTTTACGTGTGGGAAAAACATTGGATGCAGATGTTGCTACTGGGGGTGCTGTGTCCTGCAACGTGGTTATCAAAGCTGTGGATGGTGGCTCCCCCCCGAAAGAAACTCAGGCTACACAGAAGCTGACACTTGTTGGCGTCAACGACAATGCCCCAGTGTTCACTGATGCCACATTCAAGTTCTTGGTGGCGGAAGACGTTGCTGTTGGCCATGTTGTAGCAACTTTAGGTATAGACGAATACGACGGTGATGTGGTTACGTTAAGTGTTACCGGGTCACAAGCAGCAGTGTTTGCGGGTGATGCGACTCAGCCGAATCTACTGACACTGGCGACTCTTGACTACGAGACAACGAAGTGCTACTCTGTAGAAGTCGTGTAAGATTCCTGTTTTGATTAATATATAATCTCATTTATTCATTTGGGTATCAGCAAGAAAAGAGAATATGAAATGAAGTCTGAATGAATCTGTAAGACTAATGTTGCACCATATTGTCCTGGTGGTATTACAGTTGTAAAGGTTTCTTTACCGCAGAGTATTTCTTTGTCCCGGGTTTGTGACCATGCAGTGTGTGTCTACCAGACACCGACCTCGGACAAACAATTCAGACAATGGAAAATTCTGTGTGTCACCTACAAAGGAAGGGGGTGGGTGGTGAATGAGTGAGTGACAACACATGTGGCACGTGCTGGCGTCAACTGTTTCTGGGAAGCAATCAAGACAATATGCGCCAAAGGAATGTCATATTTTATCATATAAACTTGAACAAATTTAAGAAGTTATAAGTCACCTTTATTCTCATACTCTAGTGCTTCTGACGGGGGATTACAGACAACACGAACTTTGACGATCGCAGTAACTGACGTTGCTGACGTCGCCCCAAAACTCACGGCCTACGACTTCGTGACCATTCCAGAACAACTGGCATACGGGACGGTGATTGGCCGCCTGTTTGAGCTGAGCGACGTAGACACACAGGACATCGCTATATACACCCTCAGTGGTACGAATGCGAAGGTTGTTGAATCTGAACCTGTAAAACTTGATCGATAGACAAAATATCAAAATAGAAAAAGCTGCTGATGAGGCGAAGAAAGTGCAAATTGTGCCACATTGTGTTCACACAATCTAATTCATCTTTGTAAGCCATGTCTGTACCCAAACAAATTGATGGAGGTCACTTCATGCCGATATAAATGATCCTTATATTGAAATCTCACTTCCCTACCTCGCCAAACAGACAATGTCACAGACCCTTAACGGTCAGGCTGTTTTTGTTTGATAGCTGAAGATAACACAGTACTCACCATCCAGGTCACCCGAAACATGACATTAAATGCAGTTTTATGTTTTTGAAGCTGGGTGAGACAGTGTATATGATGTCATCATTACCATAACCTGTGGCTAGTTAAAAGCTGTCTAACAAAACCTGTTACCCACATTCCAGGCACCGACAGCGGCAGCTTAGCCATCAATGAAACATCTGGTCGAGTATTCATCGCAGACGCTATCGACGCTGACAGCGGAGTTACTTCCCTCAGTGTCACCGTCACCGTCACCGACTCAGCTTCTCTGACAGGCACTGCTGATGTTGACGTCGCTGTTTTGGATGTCAACGAATTTGCACCAGTGTTTGGCGATCAGATTTACAAGGCTAATGTGGAGGAAAATAGTGCATCAGGTTGCTAGAGTTCTAATTGTTGTCGTAGCTGTTTCCGAGTTAATTTGTGAACGTGGGCAAGAGTTTATCACGACTGCCTGTATAAAGATCTTGGACTGTATAACGAGAGTCATCTGATAAGCACACGACAAACACTTTGTGGTTCACGATCCCCAACGCTGGCGGCTGATAAATATGATACTTTGGGATCTATACCTTCTGCTGCAAAATCGCACTCCAAATCATATTGTACACTGTGACTATTGACCCGTCATAAACTGAAAGAAATAATAGATTCTCGAACTACATGCCATTGGTCTCAATGAGAGCTGAACTCAATGAGAGCTGACCAGATATTTTATGGATTTAGCTTCTTTAATCTTTCCCACAGAAGGTTTCGGGATCATTACAGGTGCCTTCATCAGGTGAAGAGACTTCACCAAATCCATAAAATATCTTGGTCATCTACAACAACTTCTAAATGCCGCTAAAAGACATCAATGAGAGCTGTTTGATAACACTTTAAACTGGTTTGTGTTTTCCAGCCAAACTCCTTGACGTTGTGTGCACGGATGACGACACGGGCGTCAACGGTGAAGTTGAACTAGTTATACCCACTACCAACGGTGCTGACACGATATTTTCCGTGTCGGCAATGGAGGTGCATGTGGACGGCACCCAGCTGGACTACGAGGCACTGGCGGATGAAGGATATGTATACTCTCTCACCCTGTTGTGTCGAGACAAACCAGCAAGCGGAAATCCTCGTACTGGCTCAGTGCTGGTTTCCGTGCAGGTACGACGTCCAAGCTTTTGTAATAGCATACCCTGGGAGTGCACGTGTCCATCTTGAAGCTCAGTAAACATGTCAGCCTAACTTACCTTTGAAAACGATTGGATAATGTAAAGAGGTACTAAATCTCTTCTAAATTACCGAGCTGAAAGTTATTATCTTAAGTTGAACGCGTGTTACTTATGGCATGAGATACAAAATAGGTTGAACGTGTGTTGACGTTGACAAGCTTAAACAGTAGTGTTGGTAAATGCAGGTGAGCGGTACTGACGAGACACCTCCGGTATGGTTTTCACCATCGATCGACGGCAGTAATAACTTTCCTGGGGTGACACTGTCGGAAGGCGTGAACCCAGGCGCGCTGGTACAGACGTTCATTGCTACTGACGTTGACCAAGGGACTCAGGGGAACATCATCTACAGCATTGTCTCCGTCACCTCAGGTGAGACGAATGTGATGTTAATGCAGGTTCTCAACTTTTCACAGGGACAGTAAAAGTATGCACAAGGAGTAAACGACAAAAGGAGGTGCACATCGCACGCCTTTGGTCGTAAATGATGGATTAGACGTAAGGTACACGAAAGCATGTGTTGCCATTACACGTCGTAAGGTATTAATACAGTTTTGCTTATAGCCACAATGGGTAAGTGTAAACCGAACAAACTAACCCCTTAAAATATCTGTTTGCTGGTCTTCGTGGCTTTAGCGGCAATTGATCATTTTCAAATGTGCGGACACCCGTAGGATGTAATGAAATGTGTTGTAAATACTAAAGAAGTTGTAAATCCATACTATACGTTGTTATGATAATGAAATGTGAGACACGCAGCTTCCCCCTTGTATATAGTTATAAACTTCCAGAAATTCCCATACTATGGCTGTTTGGTCTGTGTCGTTCTAAGGCCTTCAGAATTACACTTGATTCCAAGTCGGAATATAACAACAATGCCATAGAACACAATAGTCCACATGAAATATGAAGTTCCCTATTCAAGTTAATGAATACGGAGAAAAGCCTGCCTGTAACAAGAACTGACGTGGATGTATTTATAAATGTAAATAAATTGAAGAGTAGATCCCAAAATATAACTATACATTACGATAAATAATGAAAAGTGTGTGTGTGTTTCTGTCCTGGGTCTAGTTATATTCCAGCAGAGGGGGATTTGAACATGATGCAGTTTCCTTAAGACATTTGTCCTAGGTAGCCTAGATATATATTTGATATGCTAAATATAGTGAACCATCTGTTATAAACACCTTCTCCCCAGAAACCACTGGACCAATGAATACACATTATCTTGATAAAACGAAACCTGAATGTGGTTGTCATCCACAAGCCCATGCAGTCATGTACAAGGAAATAGAACCTCAGTGATATCATCTCTCACATTGTGAGCATTGAACGTGCTAACGTTACTTTGATCAACGTTAATATTTCTGAGGAAATATGTACACCCTGGACAAAATAACAGACCAGTACAAGTTGAAGTATTGAAGTGATAAACTCTAGTGTGCCTGTGAATGGTCCGTGTATGTTTGAAAAAACTGTTTAATGAGTTTTTTCCCCAAAGTATCTACAGTAATTGTATTTTGAGGTCGGGCATGATTGTATGCTTTCGCTGATGATGTAATATTTATCCATGGTGGGATCGTATATCCTGGTGTGGTGGCATCTCTTGTAGATTCAAGTGCTGATGGTACCGGCATGTTCGGAATAGACGCCACTACGGGAGATCTCCAGACCACTGTAAAAGTTGACGCGGACACAGCGACTGGCGGTGATAGTTACTATGACATTGTGCTGCAGGCCAGTGATGGCACCACCGATATCACTGGAACTATCAGAGTGACGCTCACTGATTACAGCGACAACGCGCCGAAATTCACCAAGGAATTCTACACAACTACCGTCCCATGTACGACATCGGTGGGAACCACAGTGCTGAGTCTGGCAGCAGAAGACATAGATTCAGTTGGGTCTGCTGCCTTCCGCTTCAATGGCTATTCGGGGAGCATCTTCACCTTGGAGACAAACACCGGTGCCATTACCCTCACCACGCCCACATTCCATATAGGGGATGACATCTATCACACGCTGGCGGTGACAGTTACCGATACAGTCAGCTCTGACCTGACGGATGAGGCCACTGTGTACATCGAGATGGAATATTGTGGGCCATCTAATGCTTCTACCTCTGGGTCGACTGAAACACCAGGTGGGAGCAATCATTGTGATCCTAGATCTATCATACAACTACACAGGGCGGTCATTAAAATGAGACTGTTTGATTACCTCAATCGACAGCAATATCAGATACACATTTGCTGATATAGTCGTGTTCTGACTGTTTTTGATAGAGCTGAGAAATAAGCAATTGTGTTTGTGGTGTGACCAATCTCTGTAGTATACTTCCCTCATTAAAACAATCAGTCTAGAGAGCCTCTAGGTTATTACATATGGTGTACACATTTCGACACATCACGTTGTATGTTAAATTTCAGCTTGTCAAAAACTGACGGACGATTCTGCCCTTGTTCCAATGAGGATAGCGACGGCAGTATTGGCAGCCGTGCTCATTGGTGTGCTTGGTTTCAGCCTGAGGAGCATGTAAGCAGCAACGATAAGCACACTGATTGACAAACATGTGTAATTAGAGAGAATACGGTTTCGGGTTTGTTCCATGTAACAGCTGCATATATTTCTCTAATCTAAACGTAAGTGCTTATAACACTTTCCTTAGGTAAGGGTAGCCATTTGCTGTTTTGTTCTAATTAGCCATGTGCTTTCTCAAACCGGACTAATGTGATTGTAACTGTTTTAGTAAGGACATTATTAACAGAAGACGTTCTGTTTCTTTCAGCATATTTTTTTTTAAAAACGCCAGGTGATGTCTATACTGTCAGTCATAGTGCTACCTTTGTTCTGATTTGTAAAATTAGTTTTAGAAAACAATCGATAGTTACATTTCTTTGGTTTCACGCCTAGTTCGTTAACGGACAGATTCCCAGTTAAATGTTCGGTTTCAACCTGGTAATAAATAGGCAACAAAAGATACAGAATGCTTCCTGTCTGAAACCACTTTAAGATACTGTTTAACTCAGATCAGGCAATGTGTGACTTATGTATAATGTCTTTCCACAATATCTCTGTTTCTAATTCAAGATTATCAGCTTTAAGACCGGAGGTCCCAAAAGGTACGTATTTCATACACAGTTTTAGTAAAAGATATTATCCTCGCTTACTCGCTGGAGTTCGTCTCCAACAAATCATTGCTACGATGTACTATATCGGGCGCCTTTAGACCAATTATCAACCTGTTGTGTCAGTTTGGTAGAGATTCCGTATAGATATAATTGTTTGTTGAACTGACACATTACTCTTGTTCAGATGATGATACTGTGTTTAAATGAAGATTAAAATGAGTTAAAACTTAGCGTGACATCAGCAAAATACCTACTTACCAACCGACGTACCAACTTAACGACCTACCGACCTACCCCTACCTACCTGCCCACCCAGGTAAGCAAGGAGGAAGCAAATACTTGTTGTTTCTGTAGCTTCACACCTTTAAACAAAGATGACTTCCTTAGTGGCACTTAGAAGCTGGTATGATGAAGAGGGACAATCTTTATGAATAGACTTTATTGTAATAGATGCGACGTTTCGGTGTAGGGTGATAACGATGTCAGAACCTACACCGAAACGTTGCTTTTATTGCAATAAAGAAGTTGTGCATCCATAAAATGTGTTCCTGTTTATACAAAGGAGATAACTAAATGTATCACCATTTGTTGTGTAGCAACGTTTACGTCCCTTTCTAGTTCCCACCTCATCCACTGCACCTGCACCCTAACCGACATCACCATGTCACACCCTACCCGACAGCACCATGTCACACCTACCCGACAGCACCATGTCACGACCTACCCGACAGCACCATGTCACACTCTACCCAACAGCACCATGTCACACCCTACCCAACATCACCATGTCACACCCTACCCGATAGCACCATGTCACACCCTACCCGACAGCACCATGTCACACCCTACACATCACCATGTCACACCCTACCCAACAGCACCATGTCACACCCTACCCGACAGCACCATGTCACACCCTACCCAACACCAAAATGCCACACCCTACCCGACAGCACCATGTCACGCTTTACCCGACAGCACCATGTCACACTCTACCCGACAGCACCATGTCACACCCTACACGACAGCACCATGTCACACTCTAGCCGACAGCGCCATGTCACACACTACCCAACAGCACCATGTCACACCGTACCCGACAGCACCATGTCACACCCTACCCAACACCAAAATGTCACACCCTACCCGACAGCACTATGTCACGCTCTACCCGACAGCACCCTACCCGACAGCACCCTACCCGACAGCACCCTACCCGACAGCACCCTACCCGACAGCATCATGTCACACCCTACCCAACAGCACCATGCCACACCCTACCCGACACCAACATGTCACACCCTACCCAACAGCTTCATGTCACACCCTACCTGACAGCACCATGTCACACTCTACCCGACAGCACCCACCATGTCACACCCTACCCGACAGCACCACGTCACACTCTACCCGACAGGATCATGTCACACCCTACCCGACAGCACCATGTCACACTCTAGCCGACAGCGCCATGTCACACCCTACCCGACAGCACCATGTCACGCTCTACCCGACATCACCGTGCCACACCCTACCCGACATCACCATGCCACACCCTACCCGACAGCACCATGTCACACCCTACTCGACATCACCATGTCACACCCTACCCGACAGCACTGTTGTGGCAAGAAACACATTAGTCTGATACACTCTCACCAAAGTTTATTTCCGTTTTCGTTATGTCTATCGTCGTTGTAGCGTTGCATTAAGTACATACGTTGTATCGTTGTATACAAAACAGTTGACGAGAGGTTCAGAGAAACTATACAGGAGAAACAAAATACGTGTTTAGTAAACAATCCAAACCTGAACCTAATAAAGTGTACAAATATTCAAAATCCATATTTTCTAAATAAGCATTAATTGAATCAAATATGTTTTCTCTTAACTCGTTTTGGACATAGAAGCAACATAAATTCAAGAAATAACTCACATCTGTGTCCTGCCATAACTCATGTATGTGTGCTGCTGTCAACATGGAGGCCTTCTGTCTGACTGAGCCCATGTGCTTCTGATCATGTGATCAGATTGCCAGGATGTGAATTATGTTTAAAATTTGCAAAAGTTTAGGCAGCAACCTGGCTTTGAACTTGCAACCTGTGTGTTTCTGAATATTAAACATCAGCAGTTCCAGTGAACGATCATTTACACCACAAGCACTTGTACAGATGTGTTGACAAATTTAAAATATTTAAATTAACTTTTACTTTAAATTAAATAAATTAAGTTGAGAGGCTAACCTTAGTTTTCTGCACGTACAAGCACCATGTCACGCTCTACACGACAGCACAATGTCACACCCTACCCAACAGCACCATGTCACACCCTACCCGACAGCACCATGTCACGCTCTACCTGACAGCACCATGTCACACCCTACTCGACAGCACCCTACCCGACAGCACCATGCCACACGCTACCCGACAGCACCATGTCACACCCTACCCAACAGCACCCTACCCGACAGCCCCATGTCACGCCCTACCCGACAGCACCATGTCACACTCTACCCAACAGCACCATGTCACACTCTACCCGACAGCACCATGTCACACACTACCAGACAGCACTATGTCATACCCTACCCAACAGCACCATGTCACACCCTACTCGACAGCACCCTACCCGACAGCACCATGTCACACCCTACCCGACAGCACCCTACCCGACAGCACCATGTCACACACTACCAGACAGCACTATGTCACACCCTACCCAACAGCACCATGTCACACCCTACTCGACAGCACCCTACCCGACAGCACCATGTCACACCCTACCCGACAGCACCATGTCACACCCTACCCGACAGCACTATGTCACACCCTACCAGACATCACCATGCCACATCCTACCCAACAGCACCATGTCACACTCTACCCGACATCACCATGTCACACACTACCCGACAGCACTATGTCACACCCTACCCGACAGCACCATGTCACACCCTACCCGACAGCACTATGTCACACCCTACCCGACATCACCATGCCACATCCTACCCAACAGCACCATGTCACACTCTAACCAACATCACCATGTCACACCCTAACCGACACCACCATGTCACACCCTACCCGACAGCACCATGTCACGCTCTGCACGACAGCACCATGTCACACCTTACCCAACAGCACCATGTCACGCTCTACACGACAGCACCATGTCACGCTCTGCACGACAGCACCATGTCACGCTCTACACGACAGCACCATGTCACGCTCTACCCGACAGCACCAAGTCACACTCTACCCGACAGCACCATGTCACGCTCTAACCGACAGCACCATGTCACGCTCTACCCGACAGCACCATGTCACACTCTACGATTCCACTCATCTTCGTGATTTCAGATTTTGTGATACATGATTTGGTATGAATGTTTCAGGGTCACCGATATCCAAGAAGAATCCAGTTGGTTTCGAGAGACCACTCCAACCAGAGCCGTCAATCTACTTTGAGGATATGGTACGTAGTGATGTTATAATAAACCATTACTTTCCCGATTTACAGTATTCTGTACAAGTAAAAGAAAACCTGACTGTGCTTCTGCAATTTAGTATTTACGGTTGAACAAGTCTTTCAATGAGGGCGTGATTGCTAAGCGATCATTGTCGTTCGCCTTTTTAAAATCCTCGCGTGTGAGTATCGTACTCCAAACACACGTGCAAACTGTGCGCCGTGCAATAACATGCATGGTCAATTTGTGAATTACGACCTTAATGTCTACATATACTCGATATACCCTTCATGACTACATATAAATCAAAAAAGGATATTCATATACATTTTATGGAACTTTATTTGAAGCACAGTTTTCTTTTGACGATAGCAGTAGCATTATATGTACTTCCCCTCAGTTTAAAGTAAACCTAATAAAGATCAGATGTTTTCGGAGGTGAATTCGTCGGTAATCAGCCTATCTACGTCGAGGGCTCTGAATTCTCGGTTAGAAGAATGCGAGTCACTCAAACAGACATATCCCAACTCTATATCTCGAAAACGAAGATATTCGAGGAGGAAATTAATATGCTCTTTCAAACAAAATCCCAATAAAGCATGCATACATAGTCTGTAAAATCACGTGTGAAGTCTGGATACGGATGTGTACATAACATTACAGAGAAAACGTTTTTCAACAACTTACATGGTAGGACTTGAGTAGGAACCAAAGTCAACTCTTTGACTTGAGAGATTGAAGACATTTAGTGACAAACATTTACAAGCAGTAATTAAATTTCACACAATCAGGACACACTAGCACCATCAGTTTTTCACCAAAATAACACCTCATAACACTTTGTACCACAGTGACCATTATTTGCATACTTGCCAGAACAGACTTCAGCCAAAAGCAGATACACATCCTAATCCAGGGGGCTCGTATCGATGTCAGCAACATCTTTACTGGTGCCCTGGTGATGATTCAGTCAATACAGTCAATACCTCCGCAAGGAGCAGCCAAGAAAAGATGGGACGTTACCATCGGACGGACGCTCTCCTCTGCATTTTCAACCTATGGTAGGAGACTGAGGAGGTTGGGGAAACTCGTGACTGCGACCAATTGTGAGCTCTGTCACCGAGGGCGTGCAGCACTAAGAGAATACAAATGCTGCCCCAACTAGTAGAAGCAGAGTTCAGGAGAACTACAAGAAGATACACGCACGTCTGTCTCGTGGGGAAGGGCATCCATTGCCGACATTGTACTTAGTCACCTGCATGAACGTTCGTGTTTGTGCTTGGAAGAATTATCAACGCACATGAACATGACGGAAATACGACACCCTACACCAGGGGAAAGTGATAGACGTCACCGGTTCTCTTTGCTAAGCATCGTCAGAAGTATTTGTATGGTCCTTAACAGACATGTACCTCAGACACTAACATGAGGGTCGACATGGGTGTCCCACTCAGTTGAAGCGCGCATTTCACATGCATGTTTGCGTCATTTGGGACTGATGGAAACATTTGACTGCGGGATCTGGTTACTCTAGATCTGATTACCTTTAAGACTTATTTAAATTTGAGAGCAGTGAAGTGTCGAGGTCAAAATTAACCCCTCAACCTAGGAAATTGTAAGACGCAGATGTGACGCTGTGGTTGAGTTAGGCCGGAAAGCCTGAATACCGACTGCAACATGTATATTTCATGATCGGCTACGTTTGGAGACTATATATATGAAACTTATACAACACATCCACACACAATAGACATGACTTGATACATCACCGCTGCACTTACTCGAATAAACCAATTTACAAGTATACACCCTATCATTTCTGAATGCCATAACATCCACAGCTACCATCTATGGTATATTAGTGTTATATTTCATTTTCGTATCGAAGAACGAAATTTACGATTAGACGTGGACGAATCGATTAGCTGAAAAAACCCGCATTTAGATAGGTTGGTCATGGTTATCTCAACGTTCTCTTGCGCTACCTTCTTTATAGAACTGTCTTCAGGGGGTATCGTATCGGAGTAAACGTCTGATCCCAATAATAAAGATTGGTTTGAATTGATATGTGATGTTCGCCATTAAAGTATACTTGATTAATCTGTATCAGTTATAAATACTACTGTAATCCTGCAGAAATATGACTTTGTCTGTCACAGTTACTTACTATAATGGAGATATTCTGTGCATTTCCAGACAGTTGAACCATCCGTGGCCTAAGACATCTACCTCCCAGACCATATCATGGCAGAAGAATACTCTAAACAACATATGATGTAGGCCGGAGTACAAAACCTGATGGTTCATATGTCTAGAGATAAATGATCGATCATATGATGAAATGTAGTGACTTGCGTTCATTGTTTTATAGTAGTATGTGTTAAGTGTTTGTGGTGTACCTTGCTGCTTTTATGTATCGTCAAACCTGTCTAAAGTATTCCATACATCGAGAATATATAATACTCATGTACTCCCAAAGGCAGTGATTTAAACATGAATATAAAAATTCTGGTGGTCATAAAGGTTCAGAACTGCTGCAATTCCTGGTGATCTAAAGGCACCGTGATCAAATTCAATAAAACGTTTACATGCGCAGACAATGAACCCAGTCAACATTTAGATTTGACACATCATTGCAAACGATTCAGAAAAAGCGACTTAACTGGACAAACCGGGAAGTCGACATGTTTTGATATTGAACTATACCCTAATACAATTTGGTAACTCATGTTACCTTTTACTGCTGCCAGTAACTTGTTCATGATTGTGAACATTATTAATATCGTGTGTTGGTGCTGTATTCAAAGTCCTGTTGCATGTCCATGGTTATTTACCGTTAGCTTTTCAACGATCCTTAATCTTAAAGGTGATGTTTTATTTTATTTGGTTACATTCACTGTAACTAATCACTATGCAGAATTGTACATAGTTGAACTTCTTTAAATAGTCATTAAACTTTTTTATCAGGAGTGTTTTCATGTGCAGAATGGAGTAAAGCTACATCTTGCCTTGCATCACAAGCTAGTAAGGCAATATTCTCTGTTAAAAATTTCCAAAGGAAACTGGCAGCGTTAATTGTACAGATTTATTTAAAATCTTTGATTGTATGATATCACCCATTCTCTGTTATGGGTCTGAAATCTGGGGCACATCCTACTGTAATACTATTGAATCTGTTCATATTAAATTCTGTAAATATGTCTGGAAACTTGGAAAATCCACCTGTAACAATATGGTCTTGGGTGAATGTGGAAGAGTGCCTTTACAGTTCACTTATACAACCAATGCAGTGAAATACTATTGCAGACTTCTAAACATGCCTGACTATAGATTAGACGGGGTAGGACAAAATTCATGGGCAACTAGAATTAAAAATATTCTTTTTCAATTTGGTTTTGGATTTGTTTGGATAAGTCAGGAAATTGGTGATCACAAAATATTTATGGAATCATTTAAACAGAGACTACATGATAATTTATTTCAATCTTGGCATTCATCTTTGGACAGTAACTGTAAATGTCTTTACTATAAGCAATTCAAATCTTTGTTAAATGTTGAGAGCTACTTGATAAATAATGATATCCCTCAATATTTAAAATCTATATATGCCCGATTTCGGTGCTGTAATTGTTAACTAGCAGTTGAAACGGGCAGATACACTGATGTTGCATATAATGAAAGGCATTGCCTGTTTTGTAAATTAAATGGTATCTTCGTTGTTGAAGATGAATGGCATGTGGTTTATATCTGTGATGCATATTCTCATATCAGAAATAAGTACATATCAAAATATTTTAGTAAATGTCAATCAATTATTAGTTTTATATCAATATTACAGAGTAAAAATGTTAATATTATCAAGGATGTATGTCTATTTTTATACTTTGTTGACAAGACACACAAATCTAAATGAAATATATATGTGCTCTACTTATCATCAATTTATGTACATATATTTTGGGCCGGAGGCCTGTTACTGAAATAAAATTCTGTTCTGTTCTGTTCATGTGCAGAATGTTTTGTTATTTGTGAAAATCCGTTACACGAGACACTGAAAAATGTGAGATACGTTTGAAATCAGTGAAGGCAAAATACCAACAATTACAATCTTATTTTATGTAAAGAAATACCTAACACAAACACAATGTATAGATTATCGTGTCAAACAGACGCACTCGCAACAATCACCACAAAGGATGAGAAGCCTCAGTCATTCCCATGATGAAAACACACAACAAACTCTCCGTATTTATATGTTATCCAGAGTGACTGTACTAAACAAACTCGTCCGATAAAGAGACCTAGAAGTTCTTTTCTTTTCTACTCTCCCCACGGTTTCTATAAGAAATTTCTGTTCGCTCCGACTTGTCCCGGAAGGTGAAAAGCAACTTAAACCAGATTCGTCTTGGAAAGTGTTTATATCTACAAAGTAGTATTATACCTACAACAGAATTCACCGTTTTCAAAGGAAACGCGTAAGTTAAAGTATAGCCCTTTTCCTAAACAGTTTTCAAAATAGTATCCATCAGAAGTGTATATTCTGTAGTCGGTCAGACCTCGCGAAGGTTGTGAAGAACACCTAAGACGAGAACGTCACAGATGTATCATGGCAAGTGTTTGCCTTCCTCTACTCCCTCGGAATCTGTGTCGGAGACTTATCGAGACTGATTATTCTCATAGAACGATACGTTGACGTTTTGTATTCTGATTTTATATTGTTAATATATCTACTGAATACCACTTAATTTTTTTAATTTCTGTTTTATTATAAACAAGACTTACCTGTAAGCAGAAGGTTGATATAAATTCCACTGACCTATGAAGTACTGAGGGATAACATGAGATGCATGCATGCGCATAAGATTCAGCCTTTTCAAAAAGTGAAAATATTATTTGCCTCGGTATGTAATGCGAGGGCATGCTATCCCCCAGTACTCCATAGGTCAGCTTTCAGGTAAACCCCGCATAATGTAAGATACCGCTGCAATGTTGTCAATTAATGGTCTGACATGTACATTCTTTAGTCTCAGCACAATGATTGCAAAGTTAGAAAAGCAGCAAACATTTCTAAAATGTGCTTTTAACGTTCTTCCGCGGTCCAGGGCACTTGCCCTGTTCTTACCATGTGTGCATGTGATTTGGCCTGCCCTAAGGTTTCTTCATTAGCCTTCGGGACCTGCAACGCCTCATTTATGAGGATGTCTGTATTTCTGCAGGAGTCTGGAGTTTCCCCCAGTTCAGGGGGTTTGAGAAGTCCATCATTTACCGATTTGGCCAATTCTCATAGCTCCCTGACAAGTTCATTCACTTCACAATATCATCAGGAACGTCGACCGGAAAAGCAGGCTCCTGTTGTGTGCACCTTGATACAATCGTTTCAAATAAATCTGGGCCAATTTCCCTCTTCGAGACATCGGAGTAACCATCTGCACTGACCTCACCATTTATGGCTGCTTTCTATACTTTCTATACTGCGGTGGTGATCTGCCTGTTACTTTATTGCATAGAAATAAAGACTCTATGTTTATTGTGATAACGGCATAACATCAGATGCTGTATTATTATCATCATCATCATCATCATAGACATTATCTTAGCGTAAAGGGGGGGAGCGTACAGGTCCCTGGCCACGTGGGCTTATCTGCCTTTGGTTTAGGCAAATTAGCTGACATGGCACTTCTTCTCCCCGCGGGACCACTACTACCTAACTCCTAGGCCAAATGTAGAGATAGCATCAAAATCAGATACTTTATGTTATATAATTACACCCGGCTTTATCACCCATACAGCATATCTTGACCATGTTGAACACCAGTGCTTGTCACTGACAATATTGACGATATTTGCACAATTCAACTCCGTCGAAAATTAGCCCCAAACCAACTTATTTACCAACAACAATAAAATGAGTAAAGAAACACTTATGATACTAATTTATCTTCACAGACGGATCAAAGGGTGGTGGTGCTGTTTCTAGTGCCACTGTCCTTTGGTCCACAATATCGTATTACCTGATGATAGCTCAAGTTTTCACAGCAAGTCTCATGCCATATTAACAGCTCTAAAATATACTACAAAAATAAAGTATGGGATCACCCTAAAGTAGTATATATAATGATAGTCCGGGATCAAGTCCAACAAAAGCCTCTGCAAAGCCTTATTTCACAAATAAAGCTTTTGTTAGGCCCTTAGATCTCGCCACCATTGTATCTACTACTTTTGAACCCCCAGTTAACTCCCCGGCTCCACGTGGCACTATTGTGCCGCTATGTCGCGTTGACCTCGATGAAACAGTTTAATGTGAATCGCCTATGATCTCTTTGGTGTTCGTAATAAAGGCTTGCTGGGCTTTCCGTACCCCCTGTTCTATGTACTTTTTTTTCTCGTCTTCGCTGATAGCAGACTTACGAGACTTGGATCGAATCTCTTGTTTCATTTTGTTATATTTTGTGAGTTCAGAGAGGATTGAACGAAACTCCTCCTCTGAGATCTTACTGTTAGTGAGTGCCGTGGAAATACGCTCACTTACCGTGTTCAGCTTTGCTTCGGCCAGAACCATGATTTCATCGTGTTTCAATGCCTTACGATGCAGTCTGCGTGATGCAAACTTAAGCACCAACCCTAACACCCCTGCCACCCCAGCTGTTATTTCAATGCCTAGCACTATAGGTGCAGCCACGATGGTAGCTAACAACCCAACACCTGCCGCCCCTAGTCCCATGCTGGTTGCCATAAGGGCAGTATCAGTCCCGTCCACAGCATTGAAAGCTCTATGGTACTTCTTATATAGTGCTTTCCGAGTGTCACGGTCTTGTTCTAGTTGGCGTTTTACATCACATAACTGTCTCAAGCGGAACCCGTCTACGGTTTCAAGGGTCTTCGCTACTTCCTCTACGACTTGGTATAGCCCCATTCTGTGTGCCTATAATATATCTGATGGAATATTTTTTAAATGGGCTTCATTTAATAGTTCATCAGTGTACTTGAGGCTTACAAGACTTAGATTCTCGTATGTGGAGATACGGGAAGGGTCAATAGGTAACTTCTGGTCTATATCAACATCTAAGCAGCTTAATAAGGGGGGTAGTAATCCCAGTGGGTTGGCCCCCAATCGTATAGTGATACGGCAAGGTAGGATACTTGATATATTGGGGTCACCCCAACGTATTGCCAAGCCAGGTAAAAGTTGTAGCTTTGGGGATCGTATCGGGTCGTCCGGATCATCAAACTTACCCTTGCAAATGACTTTATGATGAGTGTGGAGCCTGGGACCATAGCCCTAACCCCTGCTATGGTATTGGGGTGGTTGGCTTTTAACTGGGACCGCCTGGATGAAACTAACATGTTGCCCCCCGGGTAATATGGTGTTTTAGAAACTATCATCCTTTCAAGAGTTGGAATGAAAGACGTGAGCAAGACACCGTTGTTCCTAATTTCAGAGACATAGCCATCTTTGTCTAGTGAGATATAAGGTGCGGTGAGGGTCAGATTGATCACCCATCAGGGTTCTTTTAAGTCTACCAGGGCCTGCCGTATGTACACACCGTTTTTAAAGAATAGGACGTACGAGGTGTTTTCCCAACCACTCTGATCGAATCCCTCTATGCCTCCTAGGTCCCCGAGTGTGATTTTGGGTAGATGATTGGCCATTGCTGCCCGCCTATACACGTTGTCTTTCAAGTGTAGGACGTACGAGGTGTCTTCCTCACCGGGCTGATCGAACCCCTCTGTGTCCCCTAGGTCGTTAAGCGTGGCGTTGGGCCGATGCCGATTGGCCATTGCTATAATACTATTACGATATAGTTTCCAATTGTTTTTCTGATAATAGTTCAGGGCTGCACTTCACCCCCATGAAGTGTATGTTGTTGGGTAGGAAGATCTTGGTTAATGATATCGTGTCTTCCACGGCCACGATGACCCCCCTGCAGACTGGTGTGGGAATCGACACCCACCCGCACGTAAACAGTGCAAACCTGATACTG